GCGCGCTTTTCCTTCTCGCCTTCAGGCGCGTCGCCAGCGTCTCCGCGATCGCCCCCGAGCTCGCCCAGGTGCCAGAACCAGTTGAACTCCTTGAGCTCATGGTCGCACGGGAGAGGGCCCCAGTCGCGGACAATGCCGTCGTGGTCGATGGCGCCATACGGCGCGCTGTTCCTGAGACGTCGCAGGCACGCGTCGCGCGACGCCGTCGCCATGCCGAGGCGCCCGTGGCGCAAAGCCCCGATTCGGTGACCTGCTGTTTCTGTTTGTGAGACAGTTGGGACGGTGTTCCTGGCGCTCGAAGCACGCGCAGATGCGGCGCCTTGAGCGGTGGCCGACGCGGCCCCGCCTGGTGCCTCGCACTTCCGCGCGCCCACGAGCGCGGCGACCCCGCGAACCCGGAGTGATCTGGCTGGCGTCATCGCGCGCGAGGTTCCTCTCGGAAGGCCAATGGCGCGCCGCCTCTTCGGTGCGCCCGCGCGCCGCCCATGAGTCCAGGTCTTCCCAGGGCAACGGCGGGCGCCAGGCTCGCGGGCCACCCCGGTCGGGCGGCGCCCAAGCTGGGCCGCGCAAGTGCGCGCGCGGGCACGAAGGACCACGAGTGAACCTGCGCCGGGATGGCCCTATCCAACGCCAATCATATCATCAGCTACCAAGTCAAAGAATACTCCAGCGCGCTGCCATAGCGCGCCCCCGCGCGTCGCATTGGCCATGGGCGCCCCATGCGCGGCCCCGCGCGCGTCGATGGTAGCCCCCATGTCAGTTGACATAAGCGTGGCCCCGCGCGGCTGGACATCTGGCTAAGGTAGTCCTGCGCCACATAGCTCTTCAGCAGTGGCAGGGTCGTCTCTGCCGCCGAGACGTCGCCGTCGCAAGAACTCATCTCGCCCTCGAAGTTGTTGATCGAGAAATCGACGCCGAGATCCGCCAGGGCATGGACCACGGCGTCGCGCGTGACCGCGCTGCGCGCGCGGAGCGACGGCGATTGTGTTCCGCAAGTCGGCGCGCTCGACGTCTTCGGCGCTTGGTTGGGCCGTTATAGGGGTAGCGGCGTCGCCCTTCCCATTCCCTTCGCACACGGATTCCGATAGTCGCTGTCACTGCCGGGCCCCCTGCATAGCACCCTCTTCCCAGACCGGCCCATGGGTTTCAGCTTGCTGCGTTTCCACGCCACGCCCGCCAAGGGCGCCGTGAAAGTTGCGGAGCCACGGCCGCGCCACCGACGGTTGCGGCGCCCACCCTTACCGCGCCCCTTGCCCCGTCTGCGACAAATCTCCCCGACCGCCCCACGGGCCCGTCGGATAGGATTCCTGACGAACCGCCTCCACCGACGTATTGCGCGTTGATACCCAAGAATAAAGATTCAGCGGTCTCCGCGTCTCCTAGTCCGCCGGGCATGTTTGCCGCGTTCAAGCGTTCGACTCCGCCCGAAGATGCCGCGCCGGCATCAGTACCAGAGTCGAAAAGCGAGTTCCCGTTGGAGGCTGAATCCCAAATTGCGGTCTGACTGTCCGGCGCAGTGCAGGAGGCAAGGCGGTGGGCTGTCCCCAACCGTGGTGTGATGATTATGATGCAGACCTGCGCCAGCTCCCTGGCCAGCTAGCGCATCTGCGGCTTCCTCTGGGCTGCGCGGGTCGCCTGCCCAGATGTTGATAGGTGCGGCCGCGTCGCTGCCTGCAGTGGCCATGCATGCATTCGCGTGCCCGCGCCTTCCGCCCCCCAAAGATACATTGCTAAGATTGCTGTGTGCGCGCTCGGCTAAATGACCGAAGTTGCGCACGCGGTCCAGCAACTCGTCGCATGACTGCTGCGCGCGACGCATGGCCATTCAGCGGGTGGAGTAGCTGAGCAGCTCTGCCAGGGCGGAACCGTCTGAAGAGCACTGCGGTGAGTAACTGAAGCTTCGGTATGGCAGAGCCTGCGCAATCGGCTTCAAGACGGGCGATCTCGAACCGAGCGAAGATTGAATCCGTTCTCTCGCCAGGCTCGGGCCTGAAGTTGTTGAGCGCCGTTCCTGAAGCGAGCTGGCACTCGTCCCCTAGGTCCTCGAACTCGGCGCGAAGGAGAAACATGATAAGCGTGGCGGGGTCAGTGTGTGTAGTGTAGTCACGCCGTGGTCGATGATCTGCGGCGGGGTCTTGCATCGCGATAGTGCAACCCACCCCGCGCAAATCTACCTTGCAGGCATGCAGCCTGTTGTTGTGGTGTCGCGCGGGCGCAGGTGACATTGAGCCACGCATGCGCTGTTCGAGTGCACTCGAGAAACGGTGCGTTTTCCGCGGGGTCCCTGTGATGGCCCCTAGTGGTGTCATTACCTCCGTCGATATGGTCACCGCAGTGCATGTGACGAGTAGCAAAGCCGACGCGTAGCCAAATAATACCGAGTAAAAGAAGTTCCGGCACTGCTCCCATGTTGGGTTGTAGCTGGCGTTGGGAATTGTCTTTGGTGTAAATGTCGCCGTGAGTCGGCGAATCGGCTGCGAAGGCGTGTCCCCGCGCAGATTCAGGGATGACGGTGAAGCGCTTCGGCGCAAGGGTAGTTGATATAAGAGGTTGTTCTCAAACGCAGCGTAAGTCATAATGTCGTGGCGTAAAGCCGTATACGCTGCTGAGGGTAGTCAGGAGGGCGTGACAAGTAGGGGATACAGCGTACCAGCTATTGGCGTATCCGCCTGCTTGCCAGTAGTCACGCTCTGACACCGCAGTGGTATCAGCGGCGTGCCATGCCGCGCCGTGGAATAGAAGTGCGATGGACAAAGCTGACCACGCGCGAATGAAGCCACACCCGCTAGCAAGCAAAACGCGAGGTAAACATCGTGAGAGGTAGTGAGATGTAGTAGCGGTGGTAAAGGGCAGATGTGGGAAGCATCTTCCAAGAATGGGGCTCTTCTCCGATGCAATAGCGGATCGATATATCTGCGCTTACGATCCGGACAAATAGAGCGCTGACCGCTTGAACAACAAACGGCGGCGCGGACACTCGCTACGGTCGCTGACATGTTACCCAACCCTCTGACCTACGTTAAGGGTAACTCCGCTTCCGCCATTTCCTCCATCATTATCATCACCATCATCATCACCATCACCATCATCATGATCATCACCACCACTATATCATCACCACCGCCATCACTACCACCACGACCATCAGCATCACCACCACGATGATGATGGAGATGCTGATGATGATGATGATCGGCATCATTCAGTATCATCATCAGCATCACCACGAGCATCATCGTCATCAGCATTACCACCACCACCATCATAAGCATCATGTTCATCGTCATCATCATCATCACAATCCTCATCATCATCATCATCATCATCCTCGTCGACACCATCATCATCGTCATCGTCGTCATCATCATCACCTTCATCATCATCACCATCGCCACCAGCGCCAGCACCAACACCACCAACATCATCAGCATCATCATCATCACCATCACCGTCACCGTCATCCCCATCGGCATCGTAAAAGAAGGTCAGGCAGCAACCCGGCCATTCAGGGCGCGTCGACACCATCGTCTTCTACACCCCTGTCATCATCATCATCCGCAACATCAACATCAGCATCAGCACCATCATCATCATCATCATCACCATCGTCTTCTCCACCCCTGTCATTATCATCTTCATCATCATCAGCAGCATCACCATCATCATCAGCATCAACATCAACATCATCATCATCATCACCACCACCATTATCATCATGGTATCATCATCAGCACCATCATCTCCATTACCACCACCATCACCATCACCATCACCATCACCATCACCATCACCATCATCATCATCATCATCATCATCATCATCATCATCATCATCATCATCACCATCATTATCATTATCATCATCAATATTATCGTCCTTATCCTCGTCACCCCCTGTCTGGGCTGCGGCGGCGCGCGGGTTGGCTAACTGAGCATATGTCGAACGGCAGACAACCGAGCATATGTCGAACGGCAGACACGGCGTTAGAAAAAACAACTTGAAGGTTTGGGGACCTATGGGGGTGGCCTCTTGGGATCGTTGGGGCCGTCTCGGTGCCAACTACGAATGATTCCGGCGACCGTGCCGCGACCTGGAGCAGTTCGGGGGGTCTCTTGGGGCCATCTTGGAGCTCGGTGGAGTTCATTTGGGCCGTCATAGGGCCGTGAAAAAATCGTCTTGGACCCAAGCTCTTTCGGGCCACCTTGAAAAGGTCTTTGTGAAGGCAATATAATATTAGTCAAACTGTTTGGCGATTTCCGCGTCTTCGGGCGTGTGCGTCGAAAGCTGTGAACAATATTCAAAATCTTGGAATCCTGGACCTCCTGATCTGCCAGAATTGCTGGGCATTCATGGGCCGTATCGGTGTGTACCAAACTGGTCATTGAACCAAGCTTCGCAAAAATCTGAATCTCGGTTATGATACCTGACAATGCGCTGCAACATGCACTCTCCTTCCCTCCTCCCGTGCCCCCCCCAATTCACCCGTCCGCCATCCGACCCACTGGCACCCGGCGGTAAATCCGTCGACCTCATCACCGCTAGGGACCTCGTAGAGCTAGCTCTCTTACTGCTTGTATACCAAAGACACGCTTGGGATCCAGGCACACAACTCCCGATAACATTCTGCAACAATAATCAAACACGTGAGTCGTCAACACCGATATGACGTCGGCCACAACACGTTTGTTGATGGACACATCGCAGCTACAGCATTGCAACTAGGACAACCAATCGTGACCGCCGACAGGTGTGAAACAGATGGTTTTCAGCATGTCATGTCAAGTCATTGCGCATTCGTGCAAAAACCGAACCCCAGACGTCAGAAAATTCGTTCTCGCAGGGTCGGCCAACTAGCTGCACCCTGCGCCCAAAGTCCTCGCAGCCCATCTTGCCCAAAAACTTTGCGCTACGAGGTGTCTTTCCCCTCCATTCCGTCCCTCGCCTCTCCTCCCCCCGTTTGCGTCACCCTGCACCCCACGGGGGTTCGGATGGCGGCCCGCCTCACGTGACCAGAAGCTCTGACGATCTCCCCGAAGATGCGCATGGCGATCTGGCCGCCCTGCTTCAGGAAGACCGAAACGATCTCGCGGGGCCATGAACAATGAAACATGGTAGCGATAGTGATGGCGCCGATGATGATGGTGATGGCGATGATGCTGCTGTTGATTCGGGTGAGGAGTAGCATGGTTATGAAATAATGGCGCGTACAATGTTGATGAATGTTCCCGTCTAGTACAATGATTATCATGGAAAGAGCGTGATCCACCGCCGCTTTACTGTGGAAAATTCCCCCCCTCTTCCTCTGGAGCCCGGGGGTCTCCCCCCCCTCCGAAAATCCCTCCCCCCCCTTCTGCTGGACCCCCCCCCCTTCCCCCCGGCAAAACCCCCCCTCCCCTAACCCCCACCCCTCTGGAAAACCGGGGGATGTCACTACCGGTTCGAACCCCCCCCCTCTCGAAAACCGAGGGGGGGTCAATACCGGTTCGAACCCCCCCCTCTCGAAAACTCGGGGGGGTCACTACCAGTTCGAGCCGGCCCCCCCCCGTCGAAAACCGGGGGGGTGTCACTACCGGTTCGAACCCTTCCCCCCCCCCCCACGCTCAACGCCAGCAAACAGCTCTGGGTCCCTACCACCGTCCGCACCACATCCCCCACTGCTGTCCCCAGCACCACTGTCCACACAACCATTGTCCCCATTGTTCCCACCACCGTCACCACTGTCCTCACCAGTGCCCCCACCACGGTCGCACTGTCCCCAGTGTCCCCGCCACTGTTCCCACCACGATTCTACTCTCCCCACTTTCTCCACGGCCCCAACCACTGTCCCACTGTCACCAGTGTCCCACTGTCCCCGCCGCTGTCCCACTGTGCTGTCCCACTGTCCCCACCACTGTCCCCACCACTGTCCCCACCACTGTCCCCACCACTGTCCCTACTGTACCTCTGTCCCATTATCCCACCGCCGTCCTCGCCACCGCCTTCACCACTGTCGCCACCACCACTGTACCCTCCACTGTTCCACTGTTTCCACTACACTACATTCCCACTGTCCCCACCACCTCCGTCCCCACCAGTGTCCCACTGTCCCCACTGTTCCCGCCATTGTCCCCGCTGTCCCCACCAGTGCCCCCACCAGTGTCTCACTGCCCCCACTCTCCCCACCATTTTCCCACCACGGTCCCACTCTCCCCAGTGTCCCCACTGTTCCCACCACTGTCCCACTGTCCCCACTGTTCCCACCACTGTCCCACTGTCCCCGCCGCTGTCCGACTGTGCTGTCCCGTCCCCGCTGTCCCCATCACTGTCCCACTGTCCCCAGTGTCCCCACCACTTCCCCCACTGTACTACTGTCCCACCACTGTCCTCACCACCGCCTTCACCACTGTCCCCACCACTACCATCCCCACCACTGTCCCACTGTCCCCACCACTGTCCCGCTGTCGCCTCACCACTGTCCCCACCACCACCGTCCCCACCACTGTCCGCACCACTGTCCCACTGTCCCCGCACCACTGTCCCCACCACCACCGTTCCCACCACTGTCCCAACATCCCCACCATTCTCCAACTGTCCCGAGGAGCGGGCATCGTTTGCCGGCGGCGAGGGGGAGGGGGGAGAGTTCGAACCGGCAGTGCCCCCCCCGGTTTTCGAGGTGGGGGGGTCGAACCGGTAGTGACCCCCCCAGTTTTCGAGGGGGGGGGGGGTCGAACTGGTAGTGACCTCCCCCCTTTTCATGATGGACTGGCGGGGGGGGGGTTCGAACCGGTAGTGACCCCCCCCCAGGTTTTCGGGGGGGGGACGGGTTAGGAAGTCCCAGTGACCCCCCCCCGGTTTTCCGCCAGCAGCGGTAGAACACGCTCTTTCTTATCATGGTGATGGCGGCGATGTTTGCGATGATGGTGATGAGTTTGTCCCCTCCCCCTCCCTAACTCACAAACACACACACACACACACGCACGCACGCACGCAAACACACACACACACATACGCACGCACGCACGCACGCACGCACGCATGCACACACACACACGCGCGCACACAAACACACGCACAACACACACACAAGCACACAAACACACACACACAAACGCACAAACAACCACACAAACACTTACACACACAAACGCATAAACACATACACGCATAAACAAACGAACGAACTCACAACACACACACACACAAACACACAAACACACACACACACACACACGCACAACCACACAAACACACAAACACACACTCACACACACACATGCTTCCGCGCGCGCCGTGGCCGTCGGAGCCGCGCGAGCGAGGCCGCGCCGCGCCGCTCGAGTCGCAGTCGCTCTTGTCGTGGCAATTCGCGTTGTAACTGTGCCGGGCCTGTGGTTGCCGTGCTTGTCCGAACCGCTCCAGTCGTAGCCGCGCGCGTCGTAGCCAGACGAATCGTAACCCCACCCGTGGTTGCCGTGCAAATCGTAGCCGAGCCAATCGAAACCGCTGCAATCGAAGCCGCCCCTGTCGTAGTCGCGCACGTCGAAGCCGACCTTGTTGTAGCCATCCAAGCCGCGCGCTTGTTGAAGCCGTCGGAGTCGCGCTAAACGTTGTCGAAACCGACGCTCGAGTCGTTGCTGTTAGCGTAGTACCCGCGCCCAGTGTAACCAAGCCTGTCGTGGCCGTGCTTGTCGTGGCCCTTGGAGTCGCAGCCGTGCTCGAACTTGCCGCCCTTGGTGCGCCCGCTCCTGTCAGAGTCGCGCCATTCTCAGCCGTTCGCGTCGTAGCCGCTCGTCACAGCCGCGCATGCGGTAGCCGCTCCTGTCGTGGCCGCAAGCGTCGTAGCCGTGCTCGTCGCAGCCGTTCTTGGGGGTAGCCGCTTGTGTCATAGCGGCACCTGTCGCAGCCGTTCGCGTCGCGGCCGTCTGCACCGTCGCCGAGCCTGTTGTAGCGTTGTAGCCCGCGAGGTTGAGCCTACAATTGTCGCAGTCGCGCCTGCGGTTGCCCGCGGAATCGTAGCCATGTTTGTCGTAGTCGTGCGTGTCGTAGTAGCGGTGGGTCTAACCCGCTCATGAGATGTCCGTTCGCGACGTAGCCGCGACAGGAGCCGTTCGCGTCGTAGACGCCCTTATCGCAGCCGAGCGCGTTGTGGCCCGCGGAGCCTCAGCCGCGCTTGTCGAAGCCGTGCGTGTCGTAGCCCATGGAGTCGTAGCCGTGCCCGTTGTAGCCTGTTTTGTCGTAGCCGTCAGAGTTGTGGCCGTTCTCGTTGTAGCCCCTCTGGTCGATGCCGCCCCTGTCGTAACCGCTGAGATCGTAGCCGTTTGCGTCGCAGCCAACTGCGTCTCAAACGCTGGAGTCGAAACCGTCCTCGGCGTGGCCGTCCCTGTCGTTGTCACTCCTGTTGTAGCCGTCCGAGTAGTAGCCGCTTTGGACGTAGCCTTCCTCGTCTAAAAGGCCCGAGTCAAAGCTGGTGGAGAAGGCCATCTCAAGGGGCAGCGGCCCGTTCCCAAGCACGTAGTCTTCAACGGCCGTGATAAGAAGCTCCGGCAACGGGTCGGCCACATAATCAATTGCGCATCTGGTAGCGAAGCGTGGGAAAGCTGGAACCGACTGCAAACGCACACCAGTTGGCGATGCCTGGGGCGAGTCATCTCGCAGAGAAATATGCCGACGAGGCGCCTTGGCAGGTGGGCCCGCGCAACCAAGTGTAGAAGCCGATGGAGCAGCAGGAGGAGCAGCCGAACCACCCGCGACAGCAGGTCCAGGCCTCGGATCATAGCCACGCCGCCGCGAAGAGGGACCATTCTCATCAGCGCCTTCAGAGCCCGAGTCAGCGCCGCCAGGACCGGGGTCTCCAGATGCAGCGGCCGAGACTGCACATTGATGTGAGAAGAGCCTGAAGATGACGACGGCCATGGTCAACGACCGCATCAGAGTCAAGATAGCCAAGATAATCCCGAACGACCTGTATAGCAAACGAGTCCAGAGCAGCTGGATGTCCAGGACCATGATGGCGTGAGACAATGTGCACTTTCATCCCGCGATCTGTGGACGCCATCGCAGCTCGCGAAGGGCGCCCGGACTGCAACTGGTCATGTATCCACCGCGGACGCGAGTCCACCACAACGCGGGAGAACCAGCGCAGGAAGGTAGCGATGATGACGAAAGATGATGATGATGCTGGTGATGCTGACGTTGATGATGTTGTGATGATGATGAAAATGAAGATAAGGATGATGCTGATGATGACGATGATGATGTTGATGCTGCTACTGATGGTGATGGTGAGGTTGAGATTGAGGATGATGACGAGGATGAATAGTATTATGATTATGACTATGATGATGTTGACGATGATGCTGATGATTATGATGATGGTGATGATGAGGGTGATTATTATTAGTAGTTTTAGTATTGAAGCTACTATGAATATTATGAGTATGCTTTTGATTTTGATTACGATAATGATGCTGACGATGATGATGCTGATGATGATGGTGATGATGGCGACGAAATGGCGGGCGACGATGATGGCGGCGGCGCACCCTGGATGGCTGGCTTACTGCCCGACCTTCCATCGCGAGAGAAGAGGAGAATGTGCGGGGGGAGTGTTTCAGCCTCCCCTCGAAAGTATTGGTGGAGATAAGTGAATCAGCCTTCTTTTCTTGAGCCAAATTACGACATGCAGTTTCTCTCCCCACCTCATCCGACCTGGCCTCCTGGGCCCCGCGGGCTCATCCCCCTCAGAAATTGACTAGGGACGAGCACCTCTCCTCAAGGTCGCGGGCGCAGAGAGCGGGCAAACGGCCCTCATCCGCATTCTGCGCCTCGGTGATCAGCCGTAGCGCTCCTGCAGGCAGTTCAGCACCTCCGTGGTGGTGGCCAGCATCTTCTTGATCCTGCGCCCGCTCGCCAGCATGCGAGCTTGCCACTTCACGTCGATCCCGTGGTCCTTCAGCTCGTTGGTCAGCTGGATCACCATCTGCATCTCCGTCGGGCTTGTCGCGCTGGCCGTCTCGACGAACTCCTCCTTCATGGTGTAGCCCTCCTTGAGCCGCGCGTTCCGCTCGACTAGCAGGTCCCGCAGCTCGCCAACGGTGTAGGTCTCGTACAGGCGGTGAACCTCGCGTGTCGTGTACTTCTGCTCGTTGCTGTAATCCGAGCTCCTCCAAGCGGTCCGCTCCTCTGGCGGCTCCTGCCTGGGCTTCCGGTCCTCCTCGAGCCTCCTGGCGGTCGGCCTCGGGGTCGATGCCTCGGGCGGCCGCTGCCTGGACTCGATGGGGTCCTCGTGCTGTGTCTTCTCTCCTCTCGGTGCCGCTTTTGGGCCCCGTTCAGCCGTCTGGGAGGTCGCTTTGCGCCTGCCCACGTGCCAGCCGACGAGGTAGGCAATGAGGCACAGCACGAAGATCAAGCTCACCAGCAGCCAGGGAAATTCTCCCGACTGCCCCGCTCCAAGCTTCTCGCCCTCATCGCCCATCCTGCGCTGCCCCGACGTCGCCGCCGCGCTCGGAGTCGCTAGGAGCGTCGAGAAGACCACGGCCGTGCCCGTCATCCTCAGGTTCAGCTCGTGCAGGCGCTTGGCTATGCTATCCTTGTCCGCGTACTTCGTCAGTATATCCGCCACCATCTTGCGGGTGTCCTCCTTCGCGAGCTCGAACATCTGGAGTCGAAGCCGTTCCTGCACCCAAAGGTAGCGCAGCTCCAAGTGGCGTGCCTTGCCCACTCCGTGCCGCTGGGCCATGCCGCGAGCGGCCGTGCTGTCCGAGGCCACCGCCAGCTTGATCTCGATCCCGATCTCGCTCAGGAAGAACTTGATATGCAGACCTCGGGCCGCAATCGACCCGAGGGCGTAAAACTCTGACTCGCTGCTGCTCAACGCCTGGGTGGCCTGGCTGGCCGAGTAGCAGTCCCAGGTATGATTGCCGAACCTGATCGTGCCTCCCGAGGCGCTCTTGCGCGCCACCGCCGTAGGGGCGGCCCAATCCGCGTCTCCATCGGCCCTCAGCACCTTCGGCATGTCCTGCAACTCGTAGCACCATACCATGAGCTGGTGGCCCTCGAGGTATCGGGCCAACCTCATGAGCCTCGCGTTCATCTGGTAGTTCGGCTTGCTCACGTCCTGCATGATGGTCTTGCTCGCGAACCTGATGTCAGGGCGGTCCGCCGCCAGGTAGAGTGCAAGCCCTCCTGCCGATGCTGTCTTGCGAGCCTCAGCCGTGGGCATCTGGTCCGTCGCGTTCCGCAGCTGTGCTCCTATCGCCGTGGTGCCGGGTGTGTCGACTACCTTGGCGCCCCCCTTGGATCCGAACTTGGTGATCTCCGCCACGTGCTTCGGATCAACGTGCCGGAAGAAGCCTGGCAGCAACGTCTCGGGTAGCTGGTCCACGTAGCCGCAGACGCGCTTCAGGTATCGGGCAACTCCAGGGTGTCCAGGTCCCAACGGCGGCGATGAGGCAACCTCGCACTCCACGCTCAGGACGTCGTCCAGCTGGTCGAGCGTCGCGACGTGGCCCTCCGCAGTGAAGTCGTCGCCGTGGACCCCCATCGTGGCGTCTTTGCCGTCGCCGCCGAGTGCGCCTTGCCTCCAGCGTCGTCCGAGGTAGCCATCGCGTTCTCACCCCGCAGCTGGCTGGCCAAGCGGGTTCTGTACAAGGCCTTGTGCAGCTCCCAGCAGAAGCCTCGCTCGCACAGCTCGCTGCCTGGGTGGGCGTAGATATTATCGTGCAGGTCGCTGTTGAAGAACGCCTTGCTGACATCCCAGATGCGGATGCACCTTCGGTGCTGACCGTCGCTGTCGTGCTTGCTGGCTGCCAAACTGAGGATCGCGCGAATCATCGCGAGTGGAGGTGTGCCCTGATGGTTGTCCTCGCGGTGCTGGTGGGGAACCTCCGTCCCCACGAAGCGCCAGCGCACCTCCCCAGTCTTCTCGTGCGCAATGGAGAAGCCTCCGATGTGCTTGCCTCCAGGCTCGCAGTCCGAGATGCGAACCTTGCTGTAGACGCCGTGCTCGGCCATGGCCTGGAGCTCGTCTGCCTTGCCCTTCTGGTACTTCAGCTCGTCGAGGGGCTCGCCAGTGCAATAGTCGTAGTGGACCTTCACCGTCGGCTCGGCCGCGTTCGGGTCCACGCTCCAGTCGGTGTTCTCGTACGCCCCGCGGTCCGACCGCAGCGCGCACAAGCTCGCGACCACCTCGGCGTCGGGGTTGAGCTTCTCGGCGCAGCCGATGAGACACCTCCTGCGCGCGCACTGCCCGTCATGGTCGTGCCGAAAGACGCAGCAGCCCACGTGTGCCTCGCAGAGGCCCTCACACCGCTCGAGGCCTGACGGGATCGGGTCCCAGAGCGGGCCCACCTCCTGGTCGTCGTCTTCCTCGCAGACCGCCAGCTCGCAGACCGAGAGACCCGCGATGACCACGACCTCGGGTGCCTGCACCAGTGCTCCGACCCTCTGCCGCTTGTTTGGCTCCAGGGTCTCCTGCACTGGGTCTCTCTCCAGGGCCTTAGGCGTGCTCACCTCCAATCCTGGGGTCGCTGGTGCTGCCGCTGTACTAGGTGATGCTGAGGGCGCTGCCGCTGCCGAGCCTGAGACCGCTGCTGGGTGCTCGGCAGGCCCTGGCGGGGGGGCCTGGGACGCAGGCCCTGGCATCGCTGGGGTACCAGGCGCGACGCCGCCCTTGGTCTCCTCCAGGAGCTTCGCCTCGAGCCTCTCCTGCGCGATGGTCTCGAAGCGCTGCCTGCGCTGCTCGCTGTGCTGGCCCCGCCCGTAGACGCACTTCGGGCAGCTGTCCGTCGGTCCATGCATGTTCTTCATAGCCTCCGTGATGTACATGGATTTCTTGATGGTCGACTTCACGCGCTCAGGCACAGGGGCCAATGGGGTGGCGTCGATCTGCTTCACGAGCTCGGCGTCCCAGCGGAACTCCTCGGGCATGCGGCGAACCGAGCGCAGCTTCAGGAGGCCGCGCTGAAGGTCCACCACCAGGTGCTGGTCGTCAAACTCTGACTTGCCGACCCAGATGCCCTTCGCGAAGCGTACCTCGAACTTGCCCTGGCCCGCCGCAACGCGAGCCGCTATGCGATACCACGCCTGCTCGCCAATTTCTGTCACTTCTTCTTCGTATTCCCGTCCGAAGAGGAACTTGTAGCTAGATCCTCCGTGGCTCCTCGGCTGGAACCCAGTGAGGTACCAGCCCGTAGCGTTGGCGAGGAAGGCGAGGATGGGGTCCGAGAGTTCGAGCTTGCAGCCGAGCTTGGTCTCAAAGGACAACCGCAGCGTACGGGGTAGCCCCGCCGCTGCTCCATTGCTGGCCTCCACGCGCCCCATGCTCTTCGACGAATACGCTGGGCCTTGCCGCACTATCGTGGAATGCGACCTAAGCTTCTTCACCTGCTCAGCCAGGGCGACGATCGCGTTCTCGCCGTCCGTGAGCAGAATCACCGTCGTGCGGCCCCGGTTGTCGATGAGCTTGGCCACGAAGAGTGACTTGTAGTCGCCGGTCTGCTTGGAGCCGAAGAGCGTGGCCGGGGCGTTGGACCTGCAATCCACGACGTTCAGGATCGCGGGGGGCTCCCCGCGCCCCTTGGTCTCCAGCTTCCTGAAGTCGATGACCTCCACGACGTAGCCGTTCACCATGGGGTACTTCCTCGCGATCTCGTCGGTGGCCACGAAGAAGAAGTCTATCTCCACGACTGGGTACTCGTCGTCACCCTTGGGCTCTGAGCTCACCTCGCGGGGCGTGTCCTTCCCTCGGCCAATGACGCAGACGCTGCGCCACGGCCTGAAGGGAAGATGGTGTGTTTCGTGAGCTCGCTGTGTTTCGTGAGCTCGCCTCTCCTCCTCCGAGGGCTGGCCAGGTCTCGCGAGCGCCTTCGCCTTCAATGTGACGTTCTCGCTGGGGTCAGGTCCGAGCACTGCCGGCAGCTGCTGTCGGCCCTCTGTTGCTGGCACCTGCGCGCGCAGGGTCTTGTGAGCCGCGCTAAGGTACAGCCCCTCGCCCTGCTGCTCGCCGATGTTTGCCATCCGTGCCGCGCGCTTGCCCTCGGCGGAGCTGTCCAGCATCTCGTCGTGCTCCAGGTAGCACGTGCCCCGATCCTTCATCAGCTTGATCGCGTTGGCCGACGTCGGGGGCGAGATCGGACTGTCCACAATCCAGTCGCCCAGGGGAAAATGGATGACCGACTTGTCCTGCTTCGTGATCGCGTCGGTGCACATCACGGGAAACTCCACGTCCGCTGCCTCCGCCGAAATCTGGATCACGTCCTGGCCCGTCTTCAGTCTGACGTCCGTCTTGCCGTAGTGCTGTGCCTTCGCGCCGTCGATGGCCTGCAGCTTGGAGATGCTCGACTTGGCCAGCGTGTAGCCCTTGCTCTTCAGCATGTCGTAGGGGAACGCGGTGATCTGGGCCCCTGAGTCTATCATGACTCCTCTGACGCCACGGGCTGCCGAGATTTGGAGCGCTGTCACCGCTCTCGTTGCGCCTCGCCCTGCTGGGCTCGGCCGACCTCGCCCTCGCCCTCCACGGGTTGGCCGAGAGGGCGAATATGTACTTCGGCTTGAGCGTGTCCTGTTCCGCGATGAGGCCATTGATCCCGCGCATGCCGAGGGGCATTGTCGGTGCCGCGCTCGCCGTCGAGGCCGATCCCGAAGGTGCTGGCGTCGTCGCGCACACCGCGTACTGCGCGAGAGGCTGTGAAAACTGCCCTGTGCCGTCGAACCCAGGCGGAGGAGGAACTCCTGCAGGTAGTGTGCTTCCGCCTTCGGCCAATCCTGCTGCCGCGGCCCGCCGCTGTTTCTTCTCATCCTTGGCCTTCTTCTTGGCCTCCGCCTTGGCCTCGTTCTCCTTCTTGAACTTGCGGCAGTCGTCCTTGACGCGGTTCGGCTTCTCGCAATAACTGCGCCACTTCCGAGGGTGACTCGGGTTGTCCTTCGCCTTCGGTTCGAACTTGTTCTTACACTTGTCCATATATGTGTCCTTGTCTCCCTTGCCCTTTCCTCTGCCCTTGCCTTTGCCTTTCCTGAGCGCTCCGATCTCCATCGCATCGTCGCCAAAGCTGCGCTGTGCCCTCAAGGCGCCCAGGACTTCGGTCCCCACCTCGAGGTACGTGGCAAGGTTCCAAAGGTTGCGGAAGACGTGCTTCTGCCGGTCTGGCTCGTTCTGAAGTGCGCCGAGCAGGATCCCCTTCTTGATGTTGTCGCTCACCTGCTCGTCGGCCGCCTTCTCGTACTTGTTGATAACCAAGTCCAGCGTCCCAATCTCGTTCGCCACGTCCGTGTTCGGCGCGAACTGTGTGGACATGAGCTGCCTCATGCGCACCACGACGTTGCCAGGCTCATTGGGCGCATAAACCGCCTTCAGGCGGATCCATGCCTGGCCGCCTTCTCCGCGCAGGACGTTGCGCACGATGGTTTCTCCTGCTGAGTCTTCGGGCATCGCGGGCACCAGCATGTAGTACAGCTGGGTGCTCAAGTCCTCCCAGTCAGCGTCGTCGACGCTCATGGTGACATTCTTGGCGTCGTCGAGCTGCTCCAGGGTCTTGTCATCCAGCTTCTCGAAGAAGTCCCTGTAGCGATTGTCGTTCGCCACCATGTAGGCTCTCCAGTGGAACTCCCACGTCGACCAGCCTGCTCTCGAGCCATCGAACTGCTTGACCTTTCCTATGATCTTGGCGTCAATCACTCCCTCGAAACGCTGGGCGATCCGAACAGGCTGACCTGGTGCCTGTCCAGCTGCTTCTCGTTGCTGCTGTTGCTGCTGCAGCCGTTGTACTGTCTGCAGCAGCTCCGCTATATGTTGCTAGTGCTGCTGTTGCAGCTGCTGCTCCATCACGTCGGCGTTCCGCTGCTAGAATTGCGCAGTGGTGTTCTCGCCGCGGAACATCGCTCAGCTCCGCGCTACCATGTTTCAGCCTCCCCTCGAAAGTATTGGGGGAGAGAGGTGAATCAGCCTTCTTGAGCCAAATAACGACATGCGGTTTCTCTCCCCGCCTCATCCGACCTGGCCCCCTGGGCCCCGCGGGCTCAGCCCCCTCAGAAATTGACTAGGGACGAGCAGGGAGGAGAAGGAAAAGGATAATAACTTGGTTTGATGCCGTGCTCCATGGGCGGCCAGCCCCGCCGCCCCTGAAGCGCGCCCCAGAGGGGCCAGCGCGCATCGGGGCCCAGCCCCGATACGCCGGAGGGCGAGAAACCGGTCCACCCAGGTTAATTACCGCCAGGAGGCCCAGGTTGCAACCTGACGCTGCCGCCCCAGCAGGCGCAGTCGCAACGGCTTTTTCTTATTGAAGGCTCGTGCGGCAGCCGTATGTCCTGGGAACAAGCCTTTCTCAAGGCCCAAAAAATTATGCGCCACTGCGCTGCCGAACTGGCATCGACGGGGCCCTCGCAAGGCGCGGGGCTGGGCGGCGGCGACCGCGCCGTTACTCGCGCGGCGCCACGGGCGGCACGACTCGCGGAAGAACAGAAAGCTTGGCCCGCGGAGCGTCGATCCGAGCCCGGCGGGGGAGCGATGGCGGGGCTGCAATCCGCGCGGTGCCGCAGCAGACGCGCTCGTTCCTGGTCGGGCCGACGCGCGCGCGGCGGGCGGAGGCCGCCTGCGCGCGGCCGAAAACGGACCGACCAGTCCGTTTCAGTCGAGCGGCGGCGACGCGGCGCACCGGGCGGCGCCCGCTTTGGGCCCCGCTGGCCAGCGTCCAGCGCGACGGGGCCTGGCCGCCTCTGCGCCAGGGCGGCCCGCGTCTCGAGCTCCCGCGCGACGCTGTCGGGGAGTTGCGCCCGCGCCGCCGCCTCGCCGGCGAGGGCGCCCGCGCTCTCGCTGCCGAGGAAGAGGGGCCAGGCCTCAGCGCCCTCCCGGCGGTCGCGGTGGCTCTGGACCTTCGACGCCTGCACCTCGCACCCAGGCCTGGCGAGCTCAGCGTCCGCGAGCGCCCGCAGGTCCATGGTGGACTCTTGGCGCGACGGGCCCCGCGGCCAGCGCGAGCTCCCCGCCGCGCGGCGCGCCAGCAGCCCTGCTCCACGCGCGAGCTGTCCGCGACGAAGTGGACCAGCCGCGCGGCCCAGCTGTCCTCCAGGAAGGCGGCTCGCCGCGGTTAACCGTCTGCCTCGGCCCCGCCAGCGCGCCCGGCGCCCCAGGGGCGATGCCCGCCGCGCGCTCGGGATCCGCCAGCGCGAGGTCGTCGGCGACAGCCTCAAAGCGCGGCCGCTTGTAACCCCATCCCAGGAGGCGGAGCACGGGAACGGCTGACCGCGCGCCTCCAATGGCGTCGCCGACGGCGAGCACCACCGCGCCACCGCGGATGCGGACGCGGCCGACGGCGGCACGATATCCTCCACGTCGGGCGCCTCTAGGATGTTAACCCAGAGGCACGTTGCTCACGGGGCCCTTGCGCGGTTGCTCACGAGCCCGCAGAAGCAGAAGCACCGTTGCTCACGCGCCCCTTGCGCCGCGTCGTCCCGCAAGCGCTCGGACTTCACGCGCGCGGCTGGCGGGGCGCTCCCCGCAGCGCTGCCGGTCGGTCTCGACCGCGCCCATGTCGCAACGCTGACGCAAGGGCGATGTGCGCGCCAGGCCAGCGTCCGCGATGCGACCGCGTTTCCGCGAGCCGGCGACCATCGCAGAGCGCGTCGCCTCCAGTTCGCCAGGGGGGACCTTGCCTCCCAAGGGCCACAAGGAAGGCCTTGGCCTGCGCCCGCCAGCATCCGCCCTCCAAGCCGCGGCCATTCCAGTGGGCCGCCATTCGCCGCACTCGCTTGGCCAGCGCTGCGGACAGGGCGTCGCGGACACCCCCGAAGTCCACCAGTTGCCACATCCAAAAGATGCTCTTCGTAGGCTACACGCCCTCTTTAGCGCTGACTGAGCGGAAGGGCTCCTCGGCCAATGGAATCAAGAATGCATGGTGTAGATGGGGCCACCATGCCGCGCACCTGGCGCCATCTGGCAGTGAACGCGGCAGCGAGGACTCGCCCCCTGGCCCGGGCCCGCGTCTGGCGGGCGCGGCGTCGCAGCTGGTCGACGGGCGCGACGACGTCGAATCAACACTTGAAGACCTTCAGGGACAACGAGGTAGCAGGGTCTTTGTCCCTCATCTCGGGCGCCGGGGCGGTCGTGAGACGGCGGCGCGCCGCTCGGCCAGGCAGCGTTGCCCCGCGCGCGCGCCGCGCCGCAGAGAGCTCGGTCGGCGGCGCGCCCACGCCATGGACGCCGCGCCGCCGCTGAGCCACAGCCCTGGCCAGGGCCACCCGGCAGGCCGCGCGACGCTCCGCCGGCGTCTTTGGCAGCCGCCGCAGGCGTTGCATGGCGCGGAAAGCCCGCGCGCGCCGCCGCGCGTGCCGCAGGAGCCGGCGATGGCGATCTGGCGCCCTGGGGGCGAAACGACCCCTCGTCGCGCCGCGCCTTCCTGGCGCCGTGTCGAATGCTTGGCAGCGTCGCCAGCGCTTCGCAAACGCTAACAACTCCTCCCCGTGCTATTAGCTCGCGCGCGCCAGTTGATCCGCGCCCACTCCGCCGCGCGCGCCCCCAATGCTGCCGCGAGCTCCGCACCCCCGAGGGGGGTGGCGGCGCCCAGGGACGGGCGGCGGGAGGAGCGGGGAGGGGAAGCTCTTCGAAATGCTTGTCCTGTCCCGCGGAAGGTTACAACGCGAAACAAGCTGTTCGAGAGTGCAGCGTCATCACTAGGCCGATCTTGGCGGAAGAAAAAGTTGCAGCGCAGGACAGGTGCTTCTGGTATGGCTCGGCTGGTGAATCGATCTAAGCGCTCTCGAGGTGGGGAGGCCATCGAATCAGCAAACCAAAAACGCAGCCATGCTGGGCTCATCGGAGGCCACATCCAGGCGCATCTTTGGCGGTACCGTAAGCTCTCGTGGGGTTCAATTGCGGTCATCTTGGGTTCACGTGAAGCCTCTTAGGGCAATATTGGTGGGTGTGGGGGCCGTCTGTCTGGGTGCGCTTTGAAGCCATATTGGGGCGGTATCTCGGGTTCTGGAGGCTACCTTGGGCCATCCCACGGGCTTGGAGCCATCTCGAGCTGAGAGCAAAGGAGAACCCCAAAGTACGGAAATCACGCATTACACAGGAACGCGCCTGGCCCACACGCAAGAAATTGCAACATCAGCTGGCCCATCCTGAACGAGTGATGGCATGACAGGGCACTCGGTCCTTTCATCAGCCCCGCGACTCCGACGAAAGACCCATGGAGGCCCATCTGGAAGGAAAGAACTCCTGGGGCGCGCCCAGGAACCCAGGGGGTCCGGCTTCCGCGGAGGAGAAAAATCCCCGGCGAGGGGTTCGAGAACGGGGGCTACCCTCGCCTCAAATTTTGGAAATGGAATGAATTCTCAGCCGCGGGGGTGCCCGCGCGAGGGACCCCCCCCCAGCGCAACCAGAGGAAAACCGTGAGGGCCCATATTGTAAGTGCAACGCAGCAACACTCTAATAGTGGTTGCACTCGGGAGTTGTGCTAGTAATCAGGTTGTTTTTTACTAATGAGTTGTACCAGCACTCGGGAATTGTGCTAGGGACTTGTACTAGGGAGTTGTACGCATACCACTTGGACTAGGGAATGTTACTAAGAAGTTCCACTGGGGAGTTGTACTAAATCATATTCTACCACTACGTTGCACTACGGATTTGTAATATACATTGTACTATTGTTGAGGAATTGTGCCTGGGAGTTGTACTAGGGACTTGTACTAGCGAGTTGTAGTAGCACTCGGGAATTGCATTCACGAGTTGTTCTGGTTCTATTTATGCTAGAAAATTGCACCAGGGAGTTGTAAAAGGGAGTTGTACCAGGGAGTTGGACTAGTACTAGGGATTTGTACTAAGGAATGGTACCAGGGCGCGCAGTTCGACCAATTGTAATATGATGCCAGTTGCACTCTAATACGTGCACGGCAAGACAATGTGCTCTCTGGGAGCAGCTGCGCGCTAATACATGATAGTACCAGTCGTACTCAAGTACTAGTTGTACGGTTCTCGGAGGGATGCAGGGGTTCCAATGGTATCTCGCGCGCGGAAGGAAAAACAACATTCCATGCGCCGCCAGGGGTCCCGGGTTTAACGAGTAGCCGCGAAGGTTGACCCCCCGCGGAAAGAAGAAAAAAGTCCGGCCGGGGGGGTAGGGGGGTTCAGGCATGAGTCGCGGGGCTGATTGTCCTTTCTGTACGCTGAATGCATCGGGGTCTATGCGTTGCACGCCCCGTGGGGGCTTAAGTACACACGAGGCAGCGCCGAAGGATAAGAAAGGGAGCAAGGACAGACAACGTAGCGACGACGACCGAGAGAGAAAAAGGTTTGAAGAGAAAGGGAACGGTAAAATGAAGGAACACGATGCCAGACGAAGACGAGGGCAAAGGATGTACAGGGGGACGGCATGGGTGGCGAGGAGGAAGGGGGTGTATCATGACGACAGGCTTTCTGAGACTCCGAAAACGCAACAACGCGCGGGATCATCTTGGAACCCTCTTGGGCTCCCCCGCTGCCCTCCTGAGGCCTTTTGGGGCCACCTGCTGAGGGATCGTGCGATCCGTGCTGCAGCAGCAGGCGTGATGGTATGGCAGTCATATCATTGCTGTGTACGCGGCACGGCGCCCTGGTGCGTCACGGGTCTTGGGGCTTTCAACGGTTGTTGAAGAATGGCGCTGCAATGGCAGCGACGTCGGCGACAGTCAGGACTGGCAGAAATACTTCTACTCGTCCTCATCACCAACCCTCCCTCCTCCTCCTCCTCCTCCTCCTCCTCCTCCTTCTCCTCCTTATCATTCTCCTCAACTCTCCTCCTCCTCCTCCTCCTCCTCCTCCTCCTCCTTCTCCTCCTCCTCGTCTCTCCTCTCCTCCTCCTCCTCCTCCTCCTCCTCCTCCTCCTCCTCCTCCTCCTCCTCCTCCTCCTCTTCCTCTTCCTCCTCTGCAGCTCTTCCTCCTCCTCCTCCTCCTCCTCCTCCTCTGCCTCCTCCTCGTCCTCCTCATATTTCTCGACAGGGTCGTCGTCCTCGACCACGTGATGCCCTCGCTGCGTGTACATGTCGACTCCAATCGGTGCTCGACGGCATGACCGCAAGCCGTCAATGGTGCACGTGCGCTGCCCGTCCGAACGCGGACGTTTCGCGACGCATCTGGTTCAAGCTTGAGGACATCGGCTTCGGGCCCGACGGCATCAAGTTCGGCAATGTGAAGGCCCACCGCACCGGACGCGCAGCTGCAGGGCGCGTCAGCTGCGGAGCGCCTGGAGGCCATGGCCAATCGCGGGGCTGACGCCTGGGCGGGCGAAGGCGCAGCCAGCTGAGGCAACGAATCGCTGGCTTACGTCCAGCAGGCCTGCAAGGCGGCCGCCCAGGTCCGCTTCGCCTTGAAGCTCCAAGCCCAGCTCGCAGAGCGTGTGTTCAGCACTCAGGACGAGTGGCCGGACATGCAGCGGCCCCCGCCGCGAGGCTCGCAGGCCCCGCGCATCGGCCTGCAGCTGGTCGCAGAGGAGGGTCGCCGCCACAAGCCTTCGAGGAGGGCCGAGGGGGGCTGGGCATGCCAGCGCTGCGGCAAGCGCGGCACGAGTCACCAGGCCCTTACCGACGAGCGGTGTGAGGGGCACGCCGCAGTCCGCCTGCCAGTGAGGACTGAGCCGCGGGCAGTCACGGCGCACGGCCATCGCCTCTGGCGCACGGGCCCCTGGGTCTGGTGTGCGCACTGCGGCCGATACGCCAAGACGAGGCTCGCGGGCCTGCAGCGCCCGTGCCCAGGCCACGCGTCGAAGGATTGGTGCATATCCAATCTGCGTGCCGGGCGTGCGCCGAGGGCACGTTGCAGTGACCCGCCAATTTGGGTCGCCGCGCCGATCACTCTACGGGAGTGGGAGGCGTGGGGCACTGGGGATTTCCGAGCGTAGGCGACGGCGCCCGCTCGGCAGGAACGCGGCGGGGAGCCCGCTCTCGTGGCCAGGCCGGGTCGATGGCACAGCGACGCCCTGCTTCTCATATTTTGTCTGGAGCCTCCTCCTATCTTTCTCCTGCACCTCCTGAACCCTCTCTCCTCCTTCCGTGTCCCCGCCTTCTGGATGTTCTTCGTGCATGGCAGCCTGGAGGCGAACACGAACCCGACGCCGTCCGCCTTGCCGAAGTGCCGGCAACAATGAGCAGGCGAAGGGCGGGCGAGGGGTGGGAAACACCAGGATCCAAAGCGTCGCAATTTTTCGCGCAGGGTCTTCACGGGGTTTTCTGCCCATCCGACCCTCACGCATCGATTCAGCTCCAGAGGTGCCGCAGAAAGACTGGGTCTCGGGCTCTGGCCGTGATTATTCACCATGCTATATGTTGTCCGCGACTTCGGAGGGAAGGAGGAGAAGGGAAGAGCGCAGGGACAGGGGGAGTGGACGGAGGGAGCGAGGGAAGGGTTATCAATGTATTGTGTTTCAGGCAATTACGGGCCTCTCCCCCCCCCCCTCCCTCTTGCATTTCGCCCGCTTGGCGGGCGACTTGGTGGAGGCGCAGCCGTAGGAGCTGGGAGGGAGCCCAAATCCCATTCTCTGTCTTGCTCCTTTTCGTCTT